CCTGGGCAGCCGAGTCACTGAAGGATTCCTTCCACGCAGAGAAAGGGACGGCCACCAGGACAGAGCCTGTCGAATGATCGCGGGGTCTCGGGCATGGCTGCGTGAGTATGCATGGTGCAGAGCCCGTGCTGGGGGCGCAGGGGGAGTGCAGAATGGGGGAGTGCAGAAACCCTGCCGGCTCCTTGCCCTCCTGGAGACCGGAAAGGTGCAGGGGAGTGCCAGGGGGATGGCAGGAGGGGTTTAGGTTAAGCTTTTCCCCCCGGGAGGCAAAGACCTTCAGGAAGTGGTTTTAAACAGGCCCAAAGCGGTGAAAAGGTCCGGCTGGACCATTCAGAGTGAGCAGTGTGAGACGGGGGGCGGTGGGGTCTTGGCAGCGGGGAGAGAAGAACGCACAGCCAAGATGAGGGTCTGGGGTGGCACTGCCGGGGACCGGCGGGTGTGAACGGGGCGGATCTGGAAGCGCTCGGTCTCTGCTGCCAGTGCCGCAGTGGTGGCTGCGCTGGTCCCGCGGGGACTTGTTCTTACTGCGTTCTCCTTTTCCACAGGTGGAAGCTCAAAGTCTCCGAGCCTGTGAGAAGGGATGGACCAAAGGTATTGGCTGGCCAACGTCGCTGGGCTCTCCCTCTCCTCCCCTTCGCCTCCGCCAGCAGAGCCCTGCTGCTGCGGGAGCGGGGGACAGCACCGAGCTGTGCTCTGCCCCGACAGGCCCCTGCGCTGCAGGAGAGAGCATGAGGAGGAGCGAAGTGCCTGGAGGCCTTTGCTTGGCTCCCCCAGGCGCTGTAGCCCGTGCCTCTGCGGTGTGGTGCCGCTCTTAGGAGACCTGGGGAGAGCAGTAGTAGCCAAGAGGATCCCACAAGTGTTTCCCAAGAGGGAAACTGCTTAGATCAGCCCAGAGGGAACGTAACTTCCCTCCTCTGTGGAGGCCTGGAGGTCTGTGGCCAGCTCCCTCCCTGCCAGGCCAGGGGCAGTTCCAAGGTTCCCTGTCGGAGTGCTGAGGCTCCTGGAGCACGGGCGGCACCAGCTTCCTTTCTAATGTTGCCCCTTTTCCAATTGCTCTGTAGTGGGATCCATCCCGACTGACTGAAACCACAACCTTTGTGCTGGGATCTCGAGCAAACAAGTAAGGAACGGCCCTGCCGATGCAGGGTGGTGTCTCCAAGGCAGGAGCCCGTGAGACTCCTCCTGTCACTTCGCTTCTCCGCCTCGAAAGCAGTCGGAAGGGCTTGGGGAGGAGAGGGGGTGTCCCCGTACCACCGCGGCCGCGCTCCACACAGGTGTAACACCCCGTGTTCCTCTTTCAGAGCTCTCGGGATGGGAGGAACAAGAGGGCGACTCTACATCAAGCATCCCCACCTCTTTAAGGTCAGATGCCACAGCAGGACGCTCCCTCCTTCGGGGTTTGCTCGGGAACAGTTTCTGATGGGAATGGGGAGCACGTGCTCCGGCTCGCTCATCTTCCTCCTCCCCCATGCCCCCGTTTGCTGTCTCGGAGCACGTACACACACGGCCTGGCTGTGCCGGAACGCGGGTTCACGGCTTAGCGCAGCCTCCGAGGCGCTGGGTCTGCCTGGAGCCAGGGCTCGAGGCCGGGGAGCGGCAGGCAGAGCCAAGCCCTCCCGTGGCGGGCACCGCGCTGGAGCGGGGCGCAGCATCCTGGCAGGAGGGTGGTCAGCAGGGAAGGTCCGTGGCTGCGCTCAGCTCGGTCCTTGCTGCTTTATTGCAGTACGCAGCTGACCCGCAGGATAAGCACTGGCTGGCAGAGCAGCAGCACATGAGG